ACGCCACCCTTCTAACGATCCCGAGAATTTTTAATTTGTTGCATCTCCAGTAATTACAAAATTTCAAACTCAAAAATCTAGTTTTTGGTTTTGCGTTTGTATAAGAAGTTACTAGATTAGCACCCAAATTTTTTAGAGCTAACTGCTCTTCAAAGGCTGCAACATTATTTTCAATTGTCCGGCAGCCTCTCGATTTTCCTTCACTTTAGTTAAGCATTTTCAGAGATTCGTACTCATGTATGTCTTTGACATTGTTTAACACGTTGACGACCGTATGCATCCGCGCGTATGCACGCCCTAACTCCCGTTTAGCATTTTCGTGCATCCGCGCATATGCACGCTAGTTTTTTAGGTGTGAACGAAAAGTTTTAAGGTAACTTCTATGCAGTAATATTACTGGTGGCCTGATAGTCTTACAGAACACAGGGCATCACGGCAGCTGTTCAGAAAAATTGGGTAATCAGTCGGTTTTTGGTGAGGTAAACACATGCTAATTACGTTTTTCCGAGAAGGTTAAAACTCTGTAAAGCTGTTTTGAAAGCAAAAAAGGATGAATCAAGCAAAACATACCTGGTATTACAGTGTTTTTTTTTTGAAAAGAAATTCCTTTAATATAGCAATTGCGCGGTTATTGGGAGGGAAAATCCACGCAAAAACCTTGATTTGTGTAAGTTCTAACAAGGCTCTATGATATACATGTATCTCTGAACAAAGTTCACATGTTTTATGAATAAGCGTCAAAAGGACTCCCACATAATGTTTTCGTGCATCCGCGCGTATGCACGGGCCAAATGCGCTAAGGACGTTAGTGGGAGTTTCGCCCAAAATGGCGCGGTCGTCAACGTGTTAAAAAACGCTAAAATGGTTTTTGTTCGCAGGAAGATCTGTGTGGAAAGTGAAAAATATGTTTTTTATTCGCAAACATTCTTTACGCTTCATAAATATGCATAATCACACAAATTTATGAAGCGTTCTGACATTTACATTTTGCATCGATCATAAACTAGTTACCACACAATTAAGCTTGCTTTAATAATATGTGCAAAGCGGTTTCGAGTTCCTACAAAATAAGTATGCTGATGCATTGTTGATGATCTATGTATCATCAGCCTCGACAACTTCTGATTTAGTAACTTAAAGACTATTGCATGACGAAGGACAGAAGCGGTGTTAGCTGCGCGAACCCGGCGCGCGCGTATCTTCACCTTTGTAAATCCTGCGCCTCATGCGCTCTGGGGCTAAAAAAGCCGCGTTCGCGCCCAATATTGCGCCGTCGTCATGCAGCAGCCTATACACTCATAAAGACGGCTACATCTCAATTCTTGCGCACAAATGCTTTTAAAAGATTTTGGTTTTGATTTAAATATATCTCACCAGATTTCGCGTCTTGCTCGTTCGCTCAAATATTAATGAATTATGTATCATCCATCTCAACAGACGCATAATTCTAATGGCTTACGGTTTCTACAGTCTGTAATCCCAATCGGTTATATCTAAGTGCCGAATCACTCACAAGAGTGGCATCTATCTTCCAGGGGTCAAACCGATGGCACGCCAAGCCGGTGGCATCTAGCAATATTGTTCTTTCCGGTAGAAAACCCGATTCGTCAAAATAAATTATTTACCCGTTCACTATCGTCAGCGAGACACTTGGTTGCCCCAACATATATTCAAACACTTACGTATACATTTTTGTATTCATTCGTACGTTACGCACAAGGTGAGTCATAATGGGAACAAACAATGAAAACATTCGAAAAACACAAACAGAAAAGAGAAAACCAAGAATCTATCAAGCGGATAAAGTCAAGCTCTCGAAAAGTCAGAATAAAACGGTTTGAGCTTGTGTAAAGAATATACGAATCCATACCATTGGTGTAAAGGCTCGATGGAGTCTGTCTCATGCCCCTGCTTGCACCAAAAGTGCTCTTTGATCATTCAAATCACAACTGTATGTGGAGGAAGCGGGTGTATGGGTGTACAGGCAAAAAAGCGCCCAAGCAATTTCTGGAGAAAGAACAAAACTTTAAGATGAGATTTTGCACATTGTGACTCATCTAATTTGAAACTATCTAATTTTTAAAAACAGGGAAGAAACAAGTTTCAAGTTTGTTTAGACGATGTGTGCAAAGCGATTTTGAGTCCCTTGTGCTCCAAGCATACATCATGCGATTCGCTCGCGACGCAATTTGGCAATACTTCAATTGTTCTATCATCTGTTCTGGAATAGGAGACGCGCAACCGCACTGCGGACAGCAGCAGACGTGACGCGCTCGCTATCAAGTCGTAAGGCGCTAAACAGCGCGCGCTATGTTCAATCACTATAAAAAAGGTGTTTTTTCTGACATTCCTTTTTCTACTCGTTCCTATTTACAGGTGCCGTCCAACGAGTAGTACAGCATTTACACAGAAGACTTTGCGGTAAAGCGTAGTTTTCTGCGGTTTTCAGGCGTAACTATTGAGAAAAGCCGCAAAGTTGAACATTCCACTTTTTATTCCTAATTTTTTCCACCTTTTGTTGCTTGCATCTGCTACTTCCCTGAAAGGTCGATTGATGTGCTAACTAGCCGAAGTACGACAGCTAGCTTTTTTGCTTGAATCCATTGAAGTTATTAGGAATGATATTGAAATCGAGGCAAGACGCCTACATTTGCTCTTTTTTGTTCGTGTAATGGGTTTCAAAGGGCGAAAAAGTAAACTGTTCACTTTATTTTTCCGGCCAACTCTTTGTTCAAAAGTTCGAATATTGTGCTAACCAAAATGTGCGGCATCTGCTTTTCGTGTCTATTGTGCTGAATTGGTAAAAAACAGCAAAGGAAATGTTCTTTTTCAGTTTTTTTTCGTATCCCCTTTCTTATTTTCAAGAACTTGAAAATTAAAAGCACGTGCGGCGAACCAGGTAAGAGCTTCTTTTTCATTCGCCTTCTATTGTGTTTACAGTTGGTCAGTACACACATCGCTTTCTTCTTCCGAAGAACGTCGACAACTTTTTGTCTTGTTTTATTTTTTGCACTAAGTTCTAAGGTGTTGTCTGTTTGCTTTCAACAGCTTTAATAATAAAAACTTTATCTTTGCTTCTAGGAATAGTTTTAATTATCGTCGGTGAGTTGTTGATTTTCTTCTTTTTAACTTTTCCACTATTAATTTACTTTCCTTTTATTATGCACTGAACAAAACTTAACTCTGGCTTTTGAATGCTCTTTGCGCACCCCTACCAATCGTCTCGTTTTCGAAGGTGTCCTATGCGCGCGCTTGTCACCGGGAAGGAATCACTGACTACACGCAAAACGCATATAACAATCACAGAATTTTCCGTGCCTATTTGATCTGCCCGTGCGCAGTGAGTGATTCCTTTGCATCTGAAGCTTAGTGCTTCTACCATTTTGTTTCTGGTCTATAATTCCAAAGTTGGACAGCATAATCTCTTTTCAGTGCTAATTTTTTTTGTATCTTTTTAATACGACTTACGAAGATCATGGTTCTATTAACTATAGCGTCCCTATTTCCTCTGACATTTTTTAACTTGTTTCAACTCGAGTACTCCTGCGCTATGGGACTACACACCCGCCTTCACACCATTTCAACTTAGTAAAGACTGGCCGACCTCAGCAGGCAATGGCCAAAACTTAACCCAGCCATACCAAAAAAGCTATATATCATCGGACTCGCCTTGCAACACTAATTTCAAATATATGTTTATCATCTGCCAAGCAACTATTTGGACGAAACTATGGGCGTTTGAATGTGCGATTTGTCAGGTGTTAGGTTCCGCATGTTCAAATACATTTTGAAACGCAATCTAGGTTTCTGGTGAATGTGCTTCTTTCTTGTAATTGAGTTAACTACAGCCACTGTAAATCTGCGCCATCAGGCTGCCTTTCAACGAACTATGCTCGTTGAAGCTCGAATAATTTCTCGTACTTGAGTGCTCATAACTCCGGTCAAAATTTGCTTGGCATATAATACATATATTTGAAATCGGCGTTTCAAGGCGAGTCCGATGATATGGAGCTTGTTCGGCTGGGTTGAGTTCTGACCATTTCCTGCTCAGCTTATCACTCTCGAACTATTTCAGTAAAGACTGGTCGAAACTACCTCCCTTTCGCAAACTCCTGATTATGTGTACACCACACTTAGGAACCGGTCATCCAAACGTGCTTGTACAATGAAGCAATGAACAAGGTGACCAACTGGCTTCTGCTTCATTTAGTGACGCCTGGATTCTAAAAAGTGGGAAAAATGCTTATCGAAACTATCTATCAGTTGCCCGTAGATTAAACACATACCCGATTATCTCAATAATCATCTTGCCCAAGTTCTAAGTCGTCATTCACACTTAATTCTTCAGAAACGTACAAATCTGCTGCAATTTTCTCCCTTGCAGCTGCCTCTTCCTTCGCGGTGTGGGATACCTAGACCGCGCAAAGCGCTGGCGGGAACCACCCATCCATTTAAGTGCCCTTGTTCTTACCTACAATCTCATAGTTAACTACAATTATCAAGCTTGACCACAAACTCTACCATTTCGAGGGTGTCACTCGGCTTTCCGAGTTTGTTCAAGCGGCTTTTTAGTCGACTCCAACAATATTCTAGAGGGTTGAAGAAACAGTGCAAAGGTTGTAGCCTTATCACCGTTACGCCATACTCTGCGCAAATACTCTCTGTAGCGTTAGCAGAGCATACAACCCACCTCTGCTCGCGATGAAATCTTGCGGCTATAACAGCACTAAATTAAACTGATTTAATGCTGTCTTTCATGAGTATTACCTCGAGCAGAAGACTTTCCTTCGCGCTAATGTCGGCCACTGTTATTCCTTTCGAACCTTTGACGAAGACCTTGTGAGGGTCTTTAACGTTGAGGATTAGATTTTTGTTAATGCAGACACTAAAGAGTTTACCTTCTCCAGCTGACGACTATGGTATGGGGCGGGCGCTGTCTATCACCAATGACATACACGCCCCTTTGCGACACTTCTCATCTGCTGAATCGACTTACGAAGCTAATTTTCAAACATCGCATGATTCATATCGCGATGATAATCGTCGTCAGCTGGTCTCCGGCCGCTGACGATCACCTTCGTTGTGTCCGAAACGACACCCTCTTCCGAAAGGGCACTGATCAATCGCCCTTCTGCCTTTGTTCTTCGCAGCTGTTCTCCACATGAAAGCTCCTCCATCACAACGGCAGGGGCGATTTGTGGGATGATGGTATCGTTCCATCCTCGATTCTTCGTCATCCCGTCGAAGACCCAAGTCTCGTCCACGTTGACGATACAGTGGTTCTCCGAACGGGCTCGAAGGATGGCCGCCAGATGCGCTGATCTTCTGCGCACAACATCGGGCCGCTCAAAGATGTAGGGTTGTGCGGCATTCAGCTTATAGCCGAACACCAAACCCTTTAAAAAGTGGTAAAATGTGGTCTTACTTAGATGGAATTCAAGATGGATTTCACTGAGCTCCCTCCATATACCATCCACCGTCACTTCCTCTTCAGCCCTCAACTTGCTGTAGATGAAGTGGCGCACAACGCTACCCTACTCCTGTCCGTGTTTGCGAAGAGCTTCTTTTTTTAATTCCTTGCGCGTCTGCTTCATCTGCGTTGTTAGGGGTATAAGTCGATGCGCCAGTCCATCGGAGTGGGAGCAGGCCCAGTAAATGGTGGCTCTGAATACCCTACAAGTCAGAGCGGTAAGATGGATCGGAAAGTTAACAAAAGTCCGTTTGCCTTCCTTGCCGAGCCTGCGCTTCAGTTCTTCAAAGAAAACTTTCACACGATCGATGATCACTCTTGACTTCTCTCTGAAGATATGCGAGGCACGGCGTCGGATCTTCTCGGTCTTAAATCATATGGCTCCGAAAGCGTGGCTCGAAGCATTTCGAGGTTTGGATGTCTCAGGGCGTTGCCGAGAAGACGATCTTGTGCATGAATCCGTAATGGAAAAAATAATGTACAACAATTAGTCTGTCTCAATCGCTGAGTCACTCTATCCGGCATAGCTTCGCGAGCACTTTACAAACAGTCAAGGCAAACGCATATAGCGAAGGTAAGCACGCGAGGCGCTCGCGCAGCAGATGCTTATCTGCACAAAAAAGGGGCACTGTGATTGAGATGTTAATTATGACTTAAACTACTGAAACAAAACATTTACAAAACATACACAGTGAGCAGGATAAAAAAATACTAAAAAGATAAGCCTAAAATCCTGTAGCATCAGGAATGACCTTGAAATTGCTGATTAAATCCCAAAAACTAAAGGTAGCATACTGAAGGAAAGCTTTGATCTGGAAAGTCCTGAATTTCATTGACTTCAGCCTTGAAGAAATAGTATCTCAGACACGAAAAGCGCTCAATTGTAAATCAACCGTACATTCAGTAAAGCATCTTCTGAGTGGGTAGGGGGACCGTTTGCTAAAGATAAAGCATTGAAAATGCTGAAAAACATATTATTTATTCTGAAAAGAGACTCAGATGGTTGTGCGTACTGTAGCACTGTAAAAGTTTTGAATGTTGCGTCCCTCATCCAAACATTGTAGCAATTTTGAAACAAAAGAGAAGTTAGAGCTCCTAGAGCACGGTATGCAAGAAGTTCTCGATTCTCGTAGTTTCACTACTGCACTGCGCTGTGACATAAGCAAAATATTGAGGATATTGAGACATAGCTTCAACCGCAGCTTCGTCGAAATCATTCTGCTCAAAATTAGACGACATGCAATTCGCGGCTAAATGATTAACGTTGATTGAGAATTACTAAGGCATATACTCACAAAGCTGGAAGTAGCTGGTTGTTCCATAACTAAGGAGGACTCTGTAAATGATTTTACCGTGACATAATCCTTTTTCAGTAGGCGTACAACCGAAAAAAAAAGAACAAAGTGAAAGAGAGTGCGCTAGACTCGCAGCAATCTGGTGATTAAATAGCCGTGTCAGACCTGTTCAAAGACACGTGGCTGTTTTTATCATGTCTTACGTGTAATTCTACAACAACTTGTTCTTCACATCATGGGGAATTCATACTGGGGAAGGAGAATGAGCTCATCTCCCTAACTGGACAAATGCTTTCGACAAGTTCGCTTTCCAGTGAATAATCGTACACACATGAAGAGCACTCAAAAGCATTCAAAAGCCAAATTTAAGTTTTGTTCATGCATAGTAAAAGGAAAGTGAATGAATATTGGAAAAGATAAAAGGAAGAAAATCAACAACCCACCGACGATGTTTCAAACTATTCCTAGAAGCACGCTAACGCTGACGCTAGCGCGCGCCACGTATGCTGCTGTCTGCCGTGCGGTCACGCATCTCCTAGGCCGGTAGTAACCTACAATAAGTTGACATTTCTTTGAGCGGAAATTGGACTGGCGGGGCTCCGCGTAAAACTTTACGTCGCGCGCGTTTAAATCCAAGTGCGTTAACTTTGAGTGCCACCACGCTAACCATTCCACCATTCGGTCAATCATTGCCGTTTGCACCAGTAATAGGAGGAATTGGTGAGTGGCCGCCTGTAAGAGGGCTCGATACATTGCGTGAGAAACTTTGACCTGAAAGAACAGTTGATTGACTGATTGATATGAGCAAGAGAGGGGCGAAATCAGTGCAAATGAGATTTTGAAGGGATTGCCAAAAAGATGGTGTTGTTTTCTGTACGAAAATCGTCGTTTTAAAAAAAAAAGAACTCACATAATACGAAAAATGATAGCTTCTGATGGAAAGTAAAGTTTTTAATTATTTCGCCTAACGTAAATTGTGTGATACTGCCGCAATTCCCAAACTCACAGACGCCGTCGGCAAAGGTGCCAGCACCTCGACATGGTAGGGGCAGTTGAGATGCCGGCAGCTTCCCTCTCAAAAGAGTACGTTATTCTCGTGCTCTCTGACCCGCCGGCAAGTTGCCGGGAACTGACCTGCGAAGTTGCCAGCAGATCCTCCTGCGCTCTTAGATAATTTCCTACAGGAAGATTTCTGGAACCGCGAATTTTGCCGAGGTTGCTATAGGGCCGAGGTGGCATCTCATGGAGAAAATTTCTCAGAAAAAGGCCTGGGACGACATGAACTTGTAATTTTAGTTTTTGGCCACCTCACGGAAAGGTGTCAACGACCTGCCGGCGAGACGTGCTGCCAGGTCGGGGGATTACTACCGGCCTTAGTCACAGAACAGATGATATAAATTATCGTAAACCATCAATCTAAACGGTAACATGAATCAAGAGCATTCATTCAGCAAAAAGATTCACCGTCAACAAACGGCGGATTTACGCCAAGAAAAGATAAGAGAAGTCGCAGTAAAGAGGAAAGAGGAAAATTCCAAAGGCAAAACATGCTATTACTTTAGCGCTAAAAATCAACTCACCTCCCTTTGCCCGCTCTTTCGCACAGAAGCGACATGATTCTGTTGCGGTTCAAAAGGTCAACGAAGTCGACTAAGCGCAAACCGTCTTTCATGAGCTAGAAACTCCTGGTGGTGAAACGCGGGCCTTGAATTCCCATTTTTGACAAAATTCTACGAAGACTGGAATCCGGTCTGGAACAAACATGCTATGGTTGATGCACGATCCATTTTGCGGTCGAACTACGAACCCGCAACGCGGACGCCTGAGGTGCAGACCTTTATTCAACAAGGAATTTTTCAAAAATACCTGCGATAGAAATTCTACACCTCCAAAGATTACCGTGTTATTATACAAAGACCTAATAACTTCTTTTACAAAGGTGTTCTTCATATATTTTAGGTTGAACCGAAAGTTCGCTCGTACCATTTTCGAAAATTCATAACTTCTGATTTTTCCAACGGATGTGGCTGCTTTTATTTTTGTATGAAAGATAATTCATGCTCTTTATAAGTATACCTTACAAGTATACCTTACTATACCTTAGTATACCTTACCTTACCTTACCTTGTTAGATGATTACTAATGATCATCTGTTTCATAGATAGGAGCGATAGAAGAAAATTAGTTAAGATTTGAATTTTCTGTGTAGGGTCATAAAGAATCGAAAACTTGCAACAAAAATGAGCAGTCGGTGTTGTAGGTTCTTTCACCAGCGCCTTCTAATAGTGCAACGTTTGCGCCAATTGAGCATCTCTATGAAAAGTTACGATTTTCCTTGAAAATGCCATAACAAATCAAATTCGCCCTTTTGTATTGCTCGAAAATCATAACTTTTCATAGAGACACTCAATCGGTGCAAACTTTGCACAGTTAGAGAGAGCTGGGGAAAGAACCTAAAATACCGATTGCTTCGATTTTTGCTGCAACTCTCCGATTTTTTATGACCCTATACAGAAAACTCGCATTTTGACAAATTTTCTTCTATCGCTCCTATCTATGCAAGAGATGATCATTAGTAAGTAGCTAAGATATACTTATAAAGAGCACGACTTACTCTTTCATAAAAAAATAAAAGCAGTCAAATCTGTTGGAAAAATCACAAGTTATGATTTTTTGAAAATGGTACGATCGAACTTAAGTTCAACCTAATATATTAGGTTGGTCCCAAAGTTCTTGCGCATCACTTTCAAAAAATCATAACTTTCTTGGCACTCGATGGATTTCGCTGATATTATACATGTTCGAAAGAGGAATCCATGCTCTTTACATCTGGCAAATGAAGAGAATTTCTTCAGTTTTGCAATTTTTGAGCAGGCTCAAAAAAAGCTTAAAAACGTCACAGAAAAGACGTTTAAGTCGTGAGCATGGGTTCTGTGACCTTCTCTTTCTAGTTGAGCGGAAATCGTGCTAATCGAAAGCAATTTTGACTTTCGTGAAAAATGCAGGCTTGAAAATCCGAAAAAAATCACGAAAAACAAAATTGCTCTCGATTAGCTCGAAACTTGCTCATCTAAAAAGAAAATGTCACAATACCCACGTTTACGACTTTCCGTAATTTCTGTGACGTTTCTGGGCTTTTTTTGAGCATGCTCAACATTTGCAAAACTGAAGGAATTTTCTTCATTTGCTCCTAACTCTCGCTCTTTCTCGTTTCAACTCATGGAAAGAGCACCATTGTGATAAGCATAATTTTCTCTATTAAATAAAAATACTTCCAGAATTTTTTGTGACCCAGCTCAAAAAACGCCAATTTTGACTGATTTCCTTCAATTGCTTGTAACTCTCGAAGTTTTTCAAAGTAATTCATGTCGAAGATGCAGCTGTAAAGAGCAGATTCCTCTTTCGAATAGGTATAATTTCAACGAAATCCATCGAGTAGGAAGTTATGGTTTTTGAAAATGATGCGCAAGAACTTTCGGATCAACCTAATATTAGCTTGAACCGAAAGTTCTGTCGCACTATTTTCAAAAAATCATAACTTCTTTCCCTCACAACGATTTTGAGCAATTCAAATCTTGTTCGAAAGCGTAGAGTACATAGTTTCCAACAATCCTCTGGGGACTTTCCAGCATGCTCAGGTTGCAGAGATAAAAATGAAAAAACAAGATCATCCGAGATTCGGAATTTTTAAGCAAAAATTCTAAAAATCTAGAAACTGTGCAATAAAATCCAGAAGGGCTGTCATCCTAAGTTTCCTTGTATTTTATTACTCAGTGAGTCAAGTTTGTGCTGATCGAAGTCTTCTTTCAGAAATTTTGATTGATCAAATTTGATTTGTTGATGACTTGATCAAATTTTTTTTTGATTTTTGAAAAAAAAAGCCGAAAAATCGATTTCTTAGGAATTCTTAGGGATTTGATTTTTCGGCATTTTTTTTTCAAAAAATCAAAACTTTTGAAAGAAGAGCTCATACAGCACAATCTTGGCTCAGTTAGTGATAAAATATAAGAAAACATAGGCTGATGGCTGTTCTGGACTTTATCGTACAGTTTCTAGATTTTTAGATTTGCTTGAAAATTTCGAATTTCGGATGATCTTGTTCTTTCATTTTTATCTCTGCAACCTGAGCATGTTGGAAAGTTCCCAGGGGACCTTTGGAAATTACATGCATTATGCTTTCTGATAAAATTTGAATTGCGCAATTGTGAGGGAAAAAGTTATGATTTTTTGAAAATGGTGCGACAGAACTTTCGGTTTCAGAACCTAATATATACATTTATTTATATATCATTCTTCTAAAGACTCGCCTCGCATAAACTTTGTGCTATATGAACGAATGTATTCACCAACAGTGTTTTTGTTTAGACACGGCATTTTGGGATTTTTTAAGGCTACAATGCTATGGGCCCATGCACCGGGTTGTCAGAGATCGTTTGGCGGGTGGCCTTTCTATATCCGTTATAAAATGGTGTAAAAGACATTGCTGTAAAGGAAGCGCTTGCTCTTATTCTTTGTTTTGTTTGGTAAACACAGAGACCACTACACTACTATGATATATATTAGGTCGTTCCGAAAGTTTTTTCCGTTTTTTCAACCTATCATAAAAACACATGGAATGAAGGTAGGGAAACGCTTCAAGCGCTATCCGACGCATTTTTTCTTCCTCTTTTCAACAGTCATATTTTTGTGTCGCTTGCTCTTGTGGTCAGTGAGATAATAGTCGAAATTTCGAACACATGGTTTTTACCATGTTCAACTTTGGCAATTTTTCACAGTTTTCTTTTTTGACTTTTGGAGAAGCTTTGATAGCTGTCGGATAGAGTAAACAAAGTGCAATTCAATGGAATTTTTTTGGCAATTTCAACTGGCTTCTCAGTATTTTTTGAGACAACTTTTCCAGAAGTCTTCACTTTTTCGAAGTCACAAAACACACAAACGCTCCGAACATCAGCAAATCTTCGGATTTTGACATTTTCAAAAGTCGTTTATGATTGTTCACTATTTTTACAAAGTGACTGAGTGTTTAACGCTTCGAAATATAAGATTTCGCATTTTACGTGCACACCCTCAGGCGGGGTCAAAATCAAGAGTTATGGAAATTTTATCGCCAAAAACCCCCACAAATTGGGAAGAAAAATACTCAGTAGAAAAAGAAGGACACCTTAGTTATGAACCGTTTCATGTTCTATGGTTCTTGGCATCACAAAAGTGGAATTTGATAGCATCAGAAAAATAATTCTAAAAAAATTTTAGGGCTAGCAATAGACGCCAAAAATTCCATTAAATTGCACTTTGTTTACTCTATCCGACTGCTATTAAAGCTTCTCTAAAATTCAAAAAAGAAAACTGTTAAAAATTGCCAAAGTTGGACATGGTAAGAACCATGGGTTCGAAATTTCAGCCATTATCTCACTGACCACAAGAGTAAATGACACAGGAATATGACTGTTGAAAAGAGGAAGAAAAAATGCATCGGATAGCACTCGAATCGTTTTTCTACCCTCACCCCTCGTGTTTTTATGATACATTGAAAAAACGGAAAGAACTTTCGGAACGACCTGATATATATATATATATATATACAGGGTGTCCCAAAAAAATGTGCCTACTGTTTGATTGTTAATAACTCTCTTGTAATGAAGTCTTTCGAAAAGCTTCAGGTACCGTTTT